AGATAAAATACTAAGTAAGCAATATACAAATACATCCTACAGATTCTAAACTTAGCACAGGTGCTTTATAATGTGATGGAGAATAAACAAAGCATTAATAATAACAGTAAACTTTCAGCAATATGCAGATGGTTATAATGACCTCTTCAGTGGGGTTAGTGAAGATAATAATGCCTCACCTGTGTCCAATAAGGCTGTAGATCTAATTCTACATATTGTAATGGATCATAACAGTGTTTATAAAACAATCGACAGGTCAGTGCAACATTCCCGAGACTGAGTATGTCAAGATAATAATGCCTCACCTGTGTCCAATAAGACTGTAGATCTAATTCTACATATTGTAATGGATCATAACAGTGTTTATAAAACAATCGACAGGTCAGTGCAACATTCCCAAGACTGAGTATGTCAAGATAAGTTAAAATTAACTGGATGACTTCACCCTGTGCAAAAAGAAGGCAAAAATTGTAAATAAGGATTAATCCATAAAACGCCAAAAATGATATGAAATAAGGTGCTGCTAGAAATATTTAGTAGTTCATGATTTAAGCAAATATCATGAAAGTCATTGTTACTGCCTAATAACCTCCCAATAAAATATTTCTGGCCATGATTTTTCCCCGAACTCCCTAATAAAATTTGTAAAAATTTGAGTCCTGTGAAATTACTAGTAAAGCAATGTATTGTATGAAGTTGATTCAATACTTACAGGTAGTACATCAAAAAAGCCATTATTACCACCTGCTGGGAACTCGCTATGTATGATATCATCAAAATCACACTGTTCATTTAACTGCATATTTTTCATCATATGCACTGCATAGGCTTCATCTAAATCTAAAATTACAGATAATATTTTAATTCAATAATTCTTAAATAATAAATTTTGAATAATTTCATATCAAATGTTCGTGCAAGTACACCATGATATTTCCACCAGATCTGTATGGTTATATTAAATTTGGCAAATTACAAGCTAATCAAAATATGATGTAGGGTGAGGTGCCTTTAGATGTCACAACTGAGGCACGTACACACTGACCATATATGTATAAATACATACAAGAGCCTAGAGCCTCTACCTACATCAGACTTGTCTTAAAACAGACTCCTTCTCCAGCAATGTAAATTTGCTTGGTATTTAAACTGAGCATTAACATTCATTCTGCACTGCCATCAAGTGAAATTCTTGGCGTTTATATACTTGAGTTTAAAAAATGAAAGCATGTATATATATACAAATGCATGTATGTATATAATGCAAAACAATACAGTTTTCCAAAGACAACAAACAATAGAGTGCGTTACTTTTAAAAATCTGGAGGAATGTCATTGACCACAAACTACATTAATTTGTTTACAACCTAATCTTATGTTATTTTAACATTCTGTTTTTACTTACTTTTTACCTTACCTTTTATTACTTTCAGCCAAAAATGAATTTGTAATTTTATTACAGTGTAATAAAACTGTATTATTATTATTATTATTATTATTATTATTACTATTGCTATTATGTATTACTGCATGTTTTCACCTAGAAACTGATTGAATGATAGACTAATTTGTGTCTTGTGGTACAAGTTACTATGCAGACTTACTTTACTTCACTTAGATTGGCATTTGATAAACAATTGAGGTATTGGTCATTTTATTTATACATCACAGTACTCACCTGTACCCTCATGATCTTTTATCAAGGTTCCCACTAGTTCTATGGCATCTAACTCTGTATAATACTCCAAGTGTGACTGGTTGAACTCAAGTCTTATAATACTGAGATGAAAATAAAATATAACACATTCAGGATTAGGAATTCTGAGAAGATATGAAGAAAAAGGGATTCTTTTTGCAGCATATCAACAACAGAAATAATAATTCATAGGAAAGAAGAGAGTTTTGCATTATTTGTAATAAATTGATTTATTTTCTGACAACTGTGAAACGGTTGTACTCTCCATAGCAACCAATAATTAAAAGAATTTAATTTTGAGTACAAACATTGTGTAATTTTGACCAAACCACCTATAAGAAATGCTGGTTGCAAATGTTGTGATTTTCTCAAACTAATTCAAAGGCATTTGACATATTAAATAAGAGCAAAACAATAATTACATTTTGTTTTGTTTCAAAGGTTTTACTTAATTGTTCATTTAGACACTTTGGGGATTTTTTACCTGGTACAAAATGTTTTGTCTGAAATCATGGAAAAGTGAGTCTTCTTGAAAATTCATGATAAAGCATCGTTTCATAAAAAACAAGAAAGCTAACAGATATCAGAATCCTAGACATCTTTATTACACGCACTGGATGAACATTTATATCTGCATTAGTGTTCCAGATATGATATTTTTGGACTTGTTATGAGGTCACATGACCATATATCAATTAAATATTAGGTTCATTAGGTTCTGTGCATGATGTCTTCAACATAACACTGTGTGAATGTTTCTATGTACAACAGTACTTCTGATATGATTGTGTCGGACATACAAATGTTGGTAACCACTGCAATCCCCCACTGGTATCGTGTCAGTGCATGACAATTATGATATGTCAGAATGTTTCAATAACCACGAATACCCATTTTATAACTAAATATGATTATTTCAGTATATGTACCCCAATGAAATTTTGAAATATTACAATTTTTTTTTTACCAT